GGGCCTCTCACACCTGCCAGGTAAGTGCTTTACCACTGAGTCACATCAACAGCCCCACCCAAGTGTACTTTATTAAAAATCTGTAATTCATATGGGATTGGGGCAGGGTTCTGCTGAGCACTCATTACTGTCACAGCTACTGAATTCCTCCAAAACATTTTCCTTTTTTTTTTTTTTAATTTTTCCCCTTTCAGCTCTTCTATTTAGTCCAGAATCTTTTTTTATTTTTTTTTAAAGAGAGAGAGAGAAAGAGGGAGAATTTTTTTTAATATATATGTATATATATATTTTAGTTCTCGGCGGACACAACATCTTTGTTGGTATGTGGTGCTGAGGATCGAACCCGGGCCGCACGCATGCCAGGAAAGCGCACTACCGCTTGAGCCACATCCCCAGCCCCAGAATCTTTTTTTAATATTTTTTTTAGTTGTAGTTGGACACAATACTTTTATTTTATTTATTTATTTTTATGTGGTGCCGAGGATTAAACCCAGCGCCTCACATGTTCTAGGCAAGTGCTCRACGGCTGAGTCACAACCCCAGGCCCCAGAATGTCTTTTATAGGGCAGTTTCTGATCTGTTTTTTCAGTTGACAACTTTTCCAGTCCTGTGGAATTGGCAGCCTTCCTAGCAACATTGCCCACCTTGAGGAGGTTGTAGGTTGTAGGGTAGGATAAAGGAGAGGTCTGGGGAACATCTKGGTGTCAGCACCTGAGCTAGGTCAGAGTCCTGAGTGATGTGGAGGGGCATGGATATTACTCACCTTCTACCTGGCTACCTGGTATCGAACTCAGAATACCATACCAATGGAGGTTCTCCGTTGTTCTCCATTCTTCTTAATGGCCCAGGTGGTTTGTGTTCAGCAGTATGTGCAGAATAAACAAGAGCCCTGTCCATTTTWTTTGTCTGGTTTKTGTGTGTGATGCTGAGGATTGTACCCAGGGCATTGTATATCTCATGCATGCTAATAAGCAAATCTATACTATCTCTGAGCTACTTTCCYAGCTTCCCCTCTATCTGTATTCTTGGGCACATGTTCAAACCCCACTATTTATTTGGCAATACAGAAATTCTTTTTTTTTTTTTTTTTCGGTACCAGTGATTGAACCCAGGGGTGCTTAACTACTGAGCCACATCCCCCAACCCTTTTTTTCTTTTTTAATTTTGAGACAGAGTCTCACTAAGTTATTTTAGGCCTCCAGCCTAAGTTTCTGAGGCTGGCTTGAACTTATGTTCCTCTTGTCCCAGCCTCCCAAGMTGCTGGGATGATAGGTGTGTACCACCATGCCCAACCCCATACAGGAATTATTTAAAATGTTATAGCTCTAAAAGATGCTTCACATTAGCTTCCTTCCCTGGCCAACTCCTGCCCACCTGTCTTTGGAAAGTTTCCCCTTAGTGACCCAGATGGGCTAACGTGCCCCTGTTCATGGGTTCCCAGAACCATTTTATTTTGAGACAGGGTCTTTCTCTAAGTTGTCCAGGCTGGCCATCCTCTTCTATCAGCCTCCTAAATTCCATCAGGATATCCATTGCTGTGTCACCCCATCCACTCAGCCTCCAGGAGATGGAATTTGGGACACATTGTGTATATCTGATGTAACAAGTCATGGCAAAAACAGCTCAACTTTGTGTACATGAATAAGGTGGATTAGTCACCTTCACATGACCACAGAGAAATACCTAAGGTGACTAACTTGTAGAGAGAAGAGTGTTATTTAGCTCACAGTTTTGGAGATTCAAAGCTAGGGATGACTCAGTGGTAGATCGCATATGTAGCATGCTTGAAGTCCAGGTCCAATCATCAGCACTGCCAAAAAAGGAAAGAAAACAAAGTTCAAGATTGGGTGGCTGAGGGTAGGGAGGATCCTTGGTTTGGCCTCCAGTGAGGGTAATACCTCAAGGTGGGAGCACATGTAGGATCAGTCACATCTCAAGCCAGGAAGCAGAGAGATTAGGTGGGAGTCCCACAGTCCCTTTAAGAGGCATGTCCCCATGGCCTAAGGACCCTTCCCTTGGTCTTCCTCCTTTTTTTTGTGGGGGGGGGGGTACTAGGAATTGAACCCAGGGACACTTTGTCACTAGCTATGTCCCCAGACCTTTTTATTTTACTTTTATTTTGACACTAAGCTGCAAGGATGTCACTAAATTGTTAAGCCTGGCCTTGAACTTTCAATCCTTTGGCCTCAGCCTGCTGAGTTGGTGGGCTTGCAGGTGTGAACCACGTGTCCAGCTAGGCTCTTCCTCTTCAAGTTCCACAGCACCTCCCAGTACCCCACCCTGGGGACCACACATTCACATACAGACTTTTGGAGAAATACTCGTATAATACAGTCTTCCCCAAGTGAAGTTCATGTGCCATTTTTGTCAGTAAATGAGCCCAAGTGGATGAACTAGCCAGTCAAGCACTCAGTTGCAAGGATGTAAAATTTGATTAAGAAAAATGATTTTTTAGCCAGGACTGGTAGTGCACACCTGTAAGCTCGGCAATTTAGGAGGCTGATAGAAGAGGATGGC